TGGCTGGAGCGTGTCTCATCCTGGGGAGGAGTAGTAAAGAGTTGGAGTGTGCCCCATGCCCCTGCCAGTTGGGCCCAAGGACATGGGCACAATCTGGGGCTCTCTTCCTGGCCTCTGCAGCACCGAGTTGCTTCTGGGGGCATGGGGACAGTGTGCCAGAGTGCAGGGAGGCAGGGGCTGGCGCTGCTTACCATGCCAAGGAACGGCGCAGCTGGGTCGTGGCGGTACATGTCTTTGTCCCCCAGCACAAGGTAGTGCGCAGCATTGATGATGACGCGCTTGAGGTTGGTGAGGGATTGGAGCAGCCTAGGCAGAGGCAGAGTGAGCCACACTCTACATCTCCCTGTGAGAGGGAGAACCTCCCCACAGCATCCCCACACCTAGCCGTTCTCCCGGCCCTGAGCCCACCAGCCCCACTCTGAGACAGGCCCTGAGGGCGCCCTGGCCCCCACACGCACCGGACTCCGTAGTCCACGGCCACAGCCTCCTTGGCAGTGCCAGCGATGGCATCGTGGTGCTGGAAGAGGCCCAGGTTGCGGCGGGCGTTGGTCAGCAGGGCGTAGTCAGAGAGTGGGTACCTGCCATCGGCACCGGCACGGCGGGCGTGGGCGAGTGCCAGGCTGTACAGGATCTCGGCCCCCCTGCACAGGGACAGAGTCACTGAGTGTCCCTGGTGCTGCAATACCACGGGGGCTGGCCTGGGAGGGGGGTGGCAAAGGCACACACTGTCCTGGGACTGGGTGAGGGTTTGGCACTCTGTGCACCAGCGCAGTGTGTTGGCAGCTGGCGCAGACCAGGGACTGTTGAGCTCCCAGATACTGCCTGGCTACCCCTCACCCGGGCCCCCCACACGCCCCCTGTGCCCCGTGGACCAGCCCACTGCCCCTCACCGGAGGTGGGCCTCCAGCACCCGGTCCAGGCTCTTGTAGAACGGCCGGGAGGTGAAGTATCCTGTCCAGTAGTGATCCTCTCGGTCCGCATAGGAGAAGAAATCCCCACTCAGAACTGGGAACCCAGGTGGCCTCATCCCTGGCACGATGCCCACTTTCTTGTACAGGGCATCAAAGTAGTCAGAGAGCGTGCCAAACTGTGCCTGCAAGACAGCATGTGCAGCCCTGAGCTGGGGCTCCTGCAGTGGGGGCTCTTATCACCCCTCACAGGACTGTTCACCCCTCCAGCTGTGCTCTGCCGTGGCCTCCTGCTGCCCCCAGCTGCACAGAGCTCTCCACACATACCTGGACATGGAGGTCGGGCCGAGAGTTGAGGAAGTCAAAGATGCGCTGGTAGTTGAGGAACTGGGCGTCCCACTCCTGCGGCTTGTCGTAGCGGAAGTCATCTCCCAGGGGCACCAGCAGCACCTTGCTGCGGTACAGCTTGGACTTCTTGCGGTACTGGTCCAGCAGCAGCTGGGCTCTGTGTGGGGGCCAGGGCATGAGGCTGGCCCCTGGTGGCCCACTAGGCTGGGACTGGCGTGCCCCCCGCCCCTGCCGTACTCACCGCTCTGCCACGTTGGCATCAGTGATGGCGCGGGGAGGCACCTTCCAGGGACAGTTGATCCGGCCCCCAGGCAAGCGCTTGAAGTCAAACTGGCAGCAGATCTTGGGGTCTGGGCCACAGGTGTGAGGCACATCATAGCTGTAGAAGGGCATCATGTGGCAGAGGATGTCCGTGCTCGTGTCTGGATCTGTGGGACCAAGGACAGGTGAGCACCAGCCAGGGCTCTCCCTTGCCTGTCCCTGAGCAGGGGGGCCCAAAGACAGCGGTCTGACAAGGCAGGCCTCGGAGCTCAGAGGGCACAGCAGTCTCCCCCAGTGTGTTGCTGGACTTGGGGGCAGGTGGAAAGTCACCCTGACGCCGTCCCACAGGGCAGAGACATCACCTCCCAGTGCTCGGCTCATGTGCACAGAAAAGCAGCTGGCAGCCATTCTCTGCTGCCGCCTGCCCCACAGGGCCCCCTCTGCAGTCCCCTCCCGGCAGCCCCTCACCCCACGTCTGTCTCCACATGAACTCCAGGTTCTGGGTGGCAGCAAAGTGCTTCTTGATGGCATAGTGCACGCGCTGGATGAGCATGGCCGTCAGGTTGGAGCGCTTCAGCAGGTAGGGCATGGTGGAGCTGTACCCAAAGGGGTCTACGGCCCAGCCTGACCGTGGCGTCACACCTGGGGGCACAGAGACCTGTCAGCCCCATGCTGGGCCAGCAGCACCTCGCGTGAGGAGGGTCCTGGCAGGCCCCCAGCCACCATCTGCCCGGCTCTCACCAATGTTCTTCTCCAGCCACTGGTGCCCCTCGATCAGCTGGTCAATCATGGCGAAGTAGTGGGAATTAGCCTCATCAGCCATCACCCAGCCGCCCGTCACCATCTCCAGCTGCCCATTGCCCACCAGCCTGCCAGGGGGACACCCAAGATATGACCAGAGCCCTGTGTGAGCCACATGTCCATTGCAGAGTCCTGCCCTGAGCCACCTACAGTCTACATGCAGCCCCCACAGCCACCACTGCCATTCCCCCTTTGTCATGCTGTCCCCACACAGAGAGTCATCCCTCCACAGCCCAATGCCAACGACAGCCCACTCTCCCTCCACTGCGTCCTCCATCCCCGATGCTCTCAGGGCAAGGGGCAGACAAGGGGACCCTGTCTCACCACACAAACCTGCTCTCCAGGTCTCCCACCCTTCCATGGGTGCCCTGGGCCTTGCACACAAGTTCCCCAGCCCAATCAGCACAGGGAGGGGCCCAGGGCAAGACGTGTCTCTCCCACCTCTCCCTCCACAAGGCAGTGGCTCTGACATCTGATGGCACTGGGAGGCTGCTGACAGTTTGAGGGCACCCCGTGCTGAGCAGTGCAGGGCCCACGGCAGCCTTCCAGTCCCCTGAGCTGCTCCCTCACACACGCTCTGCTCTCAGCCTGCCTGGGAGCTAGGTGGGCACTGGGGCCAGGGGGGCAGCCCTACCTGCGCACAGCAGCCCGCTTCTGGGCACTGATGTTGTCCCACCACTTGGAAAAAAAGGAGATCTCAGACCAGATGAAGCGCCGGCGTGGGTCCTCCTGCATCTTCAGCACCATGCTGTTGAGGATGTGCTGTGTCTGGTCGTAGTAGTACTTGTCAAAAGTCTTGATCCAGCCTGGCAGCACAGGTGGGGGTCACTGTGGAGGCCCAGGGTCCCTGCCAGCACTGCTCTCTAGCAGGAGCTGGGCCAGCCCCTGCCTCTCACCTGGGTCATTGTGGGAGTGTGGCACCACAAACACCTGTAGGGGCTCTGTGTCCCATTCGTTGGGCTCGTAGGTGATGTCGAAGCCCTGCTTCCAGACACCACCGTCCTGGTTGTCAAAGGGCAGCAGGGAGTACACAGCCAGCATCTGTGGGTAGGAGACAGTGCTGTGGCCCTGAAAGAGTAGAGCTAGGACTCCATGGATGCCAGGTATGGACTCCTCATATGCTAGCAGAGCCACCAGACACTCACCTGCAGGTCCGGGCTTTGTCCTTTGCCCCCTAGAGCAAACTGGCAGTCTTGTGGGGAGACAGAGAGGAAACTTGGGCGATTCTCCGGGGGGAGCACCCAGGAGCCATTCAGGGGGTGCTGGGGCAATGCCGGCTGCCCCTCTGCATGGGCTGTCAGCTCCAGCACCGAGTCCTTAATGTGGCTGATGATCTCATGGTTCTCCTCCAGCAGCTGCTCCAGCTGCTCGATGCGGTTCTGTAGCACCGAGATCTGGCTCTGGGGCACAGTGAGGGGCAAGAGGTCACCCACAGCTGTGGGGAGGCAGTCTTGGCCCTGGCACCTTAATGCCCAGAGACCAGGGCCGGCTTCTCATTAATTTCCCTGGCTGAATGTCCCTGTTTGCCATCCCAGGGCCCCTCTCACTCACCCCAGACCCTCCAAACTCACCCTGGGGAAATTGCCCCCACTCTGGTGTCGTGTAGGGTCATGCTGTACCCGGTCCAGCATCAAGTAGAGGGAGAAGACGGCCACGCAGAAGATGGCAGCTCCACACACTGTCACCTGCTTCTTCAGCTTCATCCCGAAGGGATGCAGGGACTCACCTGCGCCGGCACCGGGGGAGAGCCAGGCCGGACAGCGCAGCCCCGCTCCGCGGCCTCCTGCCTCCTCCTCCAAGAGCCCTCACCGCGTCCTACTTGGCTTAATCCGATGCTGGATATTTATATCCGCAGATGGGGCCGGGGCCGGAGAGGCCGCGCGGCCCCGCCGGGCCGGGCAGCGCCCGGGCCCGCCGCGCTGAGGCCCCGCGGCGACGGCCCGGGCCGGGAGAGGCCGGGCCAGCACCGACCGTGTCACCGCCGCCACCCCGTCCGCGCCCCGGGCGGCTCCGCAGCCCGGCCCAGGCCCTCACATCGCCCGCCGGGGCCCGCCGGGATGGGCCAGGCCAGGCCAGGCCCCGCCTCGCGCTCCGCCCGCTGCGCCGGCCCGCGGGGGCGGCACCGAACCGACCGGCACGGCCCGGCACAGCCCGGCCCGCGGGGGCGGCACCGAACCGACCGGCACGGCCCGGCACGGCCCGGCCCGCGGGGGGGGCACCGAACCGACCGGCACCGAACCGGCCGGGCCACGCGGGGGCGGCACTGAACGGACCGGCATGGCCCGGCCCGGCCCGCGGGAGCAGTCGACCCCAACCCCGCAGCCGAGTTCAGATGCCGGTGCCCTCCCGGTACCCTGTCCCGGTGTGCCCCATCCCGGTAGCCTGTCTTTGATCCCTGTCCCGGTGCCCTGACCGAGGGTCCCGTTCCAGCCCTCTGTCCCAGTGCCCTGTCTCAGTACTCCCCCACGCCATTCCTGTCTAAGTGGACCCCACTCTGGTAACTTCATTTAGGTACCCCGTGCTGGTGCACCGTGTGCCCTGGCACAGGGACCCGTCTTGGTGCACCATTACAGTGTCTCATCCCAGCGCCACGTCCCAGTGCAGTACAAGTCCGTGTCCCCTCTCAGCTCCTAGAAGCACAGCTGCAGAGCTCGTGTGTTTATTGTACAAGACGAAGCCGGGCAGGAGCTGTGGCTGCCATATCCCACCCTGAGGTATGCAGGAGCCCCTGCCCTGGGGCTCAAGCACCACACAGCCACCCCTCAGTACCCACAGCCCAGACAGGGCTCTGCTGTGTCCCCAGCAGTGCCGTGGGATGGATCCAGGGCCCCTGGTGCTCCCTGTCACCGCTGCCTCTTGCGGATGGCGACGAGGTCCTGGTGGATGGTGCAGAAGTTGGGCCGCTTGTGGGGGTCATACTCCCAGCAGCGCTGCATCAGCTGGTACACCTCCTCAGGGCACTGCTCGGGAGGGTCCAGCCGCAAACCTGGGCAACAGGGACGGGGACGTGGATCACCGGCCCCTCACACCCCACATCCCACTGTGGGATGTGTCCGGCCCATCCCACAGGCACAGCCCCACAGTGCTGGACCCACAGTTCATGGTGGCTCTCAGGAGCCAGCCCCAGCCGTGTCCCCTACCATGCTCCACTGCCTCCCGTGTCTGCTGGTTGCTGAGGTTGGCATAGGGGACAGCACCCAGGCTGAAGGCTTCCCACAGCAGGATGCCAAAGCTCCAGACATCACTCTCTGAGCTGTATCGGCCTGGGGACATGGGGCAGGATAAATGCTGTTGGCAGGGGACACGTGTGTCACCACTGCCCAGCCATGCCCGTCCTCCTGACGGCTGAGTTGCTGAGGGTCTCTGCCTCCCTCCCCAGGACCAAGTGTGTGGGAGTGGGATAGTGCCAGCTGCGGGGTGCCAGGCCATGCCTGGCTCCATCCTGTACCATAATTGAGTGCTTCAGGGGCCGTCCACTTGACAGGGATTTGCTTCATTCCCCCTGTGGCGGCGTAGATGCCATCCTCCTCCTCCCGTGACATCCCAAAATCACTGATCTTCAGGGTGTTCCTCTCCGTCACCAGGCAGTTGCGAGCAGCCAGGTCCCTGAGACAGCCCCAGGCAATCAGCCGTGTGCCCAGCTGTCCCTGGGGCTCCACCTGGCACGGGATGGGGTGGTGAGGATCCCAGGGCTCCCCGTCCTGCCAGGGCCTACCTGTGGATGCAGTGCTTGCTCTCCAGGTACTCCATGCCGGCGGCAGCATTCTCTGTCATCTTGACCAGCTCCTTCACGCGGAGGTGGGGACCCTCACTGCGCAGGAAGGTCAGGAAGTCCCCCCCTGTGCCCAGATTGCAGAGGTGGTGGGTGCCAGGCAGCGCTGGCAGCTCACCCAGGCGCGGGTGTGTGGGAGCGCGGGGACGGGCGCTCACCCTGCACCAGCTCCATGACGATGTAAATGGGCTGTTTCTGCGTGCAGACACCGATGAGCCGCACGATGTTGGGGTGCCTGTACTGCTTGAGAATCCTGTGGGGACAAGGATGGCACTGTGAGTGTAGGGGGGCCTGGCTGCTCTGGGCACAAGCCACCCGCTGCCATCGCCAGGGCACTCTGCCCAGCCGGCCTGGGCACACAGCCCTCAGCACGAGGGTGCTGCAGTCCCAGCACTGTCCAACAGCTCCGAGAGTGGACAGATGTGACAGGAGAAGCCCAAAGCCACACGGACCTGGCTTCCTGCAGGAACTTGGCCTTGAGCTCAGGTGGAAGGGTTTCCCGGCAGGATTTCACAGCAACTGGGGAGTTGTCAGCACGCAGGCGTCCGCTGAACACTTCCCCAAAGTTACCCTTCCGAGACACAGGTGCACCAGGCTCAGCTCACCGTGCGGCCCAAGGCAACCCTTGTCCTCCTGCAGACCTGTGAGGACAGCCCTGCCCTCCTGCAGACCCCACAGCACCCCATCTCACCCGACCAATGCGCTCCCCCAGCAGCACGTCCTCGTGGTTCAGCACCCATTTGTCCTGCAGCAAACAGACACCCGTGAGCTGCCCCTGGCCCACAGACCCCTGCAGGCCCCCCTCAAGCAGAGCCCAGGTCCAGGTTCCCCTGTCTACCTGGAGAAGCATGCCTGTGGCCCTCAGCCCAGCCATCAAGAGGAGAAAGGGCCAGGCAGAGCTGCCCCTGCCCAGGGGGCCCCATCCTCCTCCCCACTGCCCGTCTCACCCTGGGCACAGCCCTGGCCAGGACGATGCCACTCTTGCGGGTGATGGGCTGCTGGCTCTGCAGGAGGTTCTGGATCAGCAGCGGAATGGTGGGGAAGCTGTCACCCTCCAGCCGAAACATGTTCTGCAGGGAGGGAGGCCAGGAGGTTGTGATGGGCAGGAACCCGTGCCTGGCCACGCAAGGCCACCCCAGCCATCCCCCCTGCTCGTGGTCACTCACTCCCACAGCCTGGATGATGAAGTGCCGGGGCTGCCCATCCCACAGCACGCTGAGCACGAACTCCTGCTTGCCCTGGCTCTCCCGCACCAGGAAGTCCCCAGGGCAGGTCAGCAGCTCCTGCACCTCCGAACGCGGGATGGCCCCGTGGTACCAGACCTGCTGGCACAGTGGCTTCTGCACGTCTGGGATGAGGGGCACGGGGGGTGGCAGCTGGAAGAAGACAAGGTGAGCCCAGCCATGCACACTCCTGACTTGTGCCAGAGGCGGGGCAGCAGGAGTGTCTGGAAGCTGTGCCCAGGGCAGGTGGGAGCAGAATCTGGAGGAGCTGAAGCAAGGGAGGCTGTGTGGCCAGCAAGGAGAGGACAGGCTCATCAAGGCAGCTGGGCAGAGAGCAGGGTGGCGGGAGGCACGCCGGGACTCACCGAGTACTTTGGGCTGAAGATCCCCGTGATGTGGTTCTTGAGGGTCTCCAGCGCGCTGGCCCCGCTCCGCTCCTGCTCCTGGAAGGAGGCACGGGCTGTGCACCAGCTGTGCAGCCCATCCCTGCAGCTCCCGGAGCGCAGGCGGCGAGGCCGACTCACCGTGGAGGAGACGGACTGCCGGTCCTCTGGCAGAGGCAGGGCAGGCAGGGGCTCCCTGGCGCCCAGCTCTGCCAGCTTGCTGGCCAGCAGGTCCCGCTGCGCCCGCAGCTTGGCCTGGGCGCACAGGCAGCCCTCGAGCTGCTGCCGCGCCTCGTGCAGCCCCTGCCGCCTGCCCAACAGGTGCACCCTGGCGACGGGAGGGCACAGTCAGCACCCGCTGCCCGGGCCCCTCGCCCCCCTCTGCTGCACCTCACCGCTCCCCGGGGCTCCGGCCCTGCTCCTCGTCGTGGATCTCTGCCTTCAGCTCCTGCATCTGCTGCTCCTTGATGCTCACGGCCTCTGTGGCGGCCACCAACTCCTCCTCAACCGATGTCAGGCTGCAAGAGATGTGTGCCGACAGCGGGCTTGGCCCCTGCCCCTCACCTGCCCCTGCCCACGGCTAGCCCCACTCACCAGTGCTGGACACTTTCAAGGGTCAGCTCATTCAACTGCAGCTCCCCCGGCACCAGGTTTTCTGTGTCCTCCAGCAGGCTCTCATCAAAGGACACAGCTGGTGGCATCTCAGATTCGTACCTGTGGGCACCGGGACAGCTGTGCCTCCACTTGCCCCGTGCTGGCCGCTGCCAGCCAGAGGCAGCAGGGCCGTACCCAGCAGAGAGGCTGCGGCTGCGTGGAGCCATACTGGTGGCTCTGGATGAAGCTGCTGTACTCAGTGGCAGGGTCGATGGCCTGGATGGCACTGGCAATCTCCTGGTGAATGGCCAAAAGATCCTCCTGTACCAGGCTGCTGATGCTGCAGTACTCGCTGAGGATCTCCTTTCTGCGGGAGCACTGCTGGTTCTGGGGGGCCGTGGGCATGCCCAGGGGGCGGGAGTGGGGTGCAGGGTGGCAGCAGGGCACAGGATGGGCAGTGCAGCGCAGGGTGGGCAGCGGGGCACGGGATGGGCAGCGGGGCAGGCAGGGCTCTTACAGGACGAGGACCATCTCCTGCTGCAGACCGTAGAGGGATTGATGCAGGCTGGGCAGCACCCGCTGGTAGTGGTGCTGGTGGTGCAGCGCGGCCGCCTGCACAGCCAGCACATACTGATTGTGGAGGGCATGGAGCTTCCAGAGGCTGCGCACATACTTCTCCTTTGCCTTGTCGCGCTCCTTGTCTGTGGAGAGAGGCTGTGGAAAACCCCAACCACCAGCACACCACCTGCCCCAACGGCGGGGCAGGGGTCACAGGGCAGGCAGAGGGACCGAGCCTGGGGTGGTCACACTGTGACACAGAGATGCCCCTGACCCGCAGCGTGGTGTCTCAAGGCCCCCAGGCTTCTGCCTGGCTTCCTGGAGGCCAGGCTGCGCTCTCCTCTATGCTGCCCAACCCCAGAACTCCCACCCGCTCCAGGCTGGGCTGTAGTTTTCACGGAGTGCAGGGTGCTCCAGCCATCCCTGACCCATAAGGGAAGCTGGGAGGTCACGCAGGGGACAGGGGCCAGGTTGGCACCTTTGCTGGCCTCCTGGTACTTGCGCTTGGCCTGGGCGCTGTCACGGGCCAGGCTGCGGTACTGTGCCTTCAGCTTCTCCATCTCCTGCTGCGTCGTCTGGAGAGGGACACGGTCAGGGAGCGGGTCCAGCACATTCCCCTGTTCCCCTGCTGGCTCCAACGTACCCGGCTGTAGTCCTGGCTGAGCTGCTGCCACTGCTCGCTGAAGGCTCTGCGCAGCTGCTGCTTGTCGCGGATGAGCAGGCTCAGCTTGGCCAGCGGCCCCGCTGCCAGCTCCTCCGCGTGCCGCCGCAGAATCTGGCTCAGCGTCTCCGTCCGGCTCACCAGCACCCACCAGGACTGCAGGAAAGGGAGTCGGGGATGGCGTGGAGATGGCATCCTCCAGCAGCACCTCTCGGGCTCTGCAGGGCGCAGTCCCGCTCTGAGGCATCCCTACCTTCTCGATGTGACCACCGTGGTTGCCATGGAGCTGCCAAGTGCTCTCCTGCTTTTCCAGCTGGGAGAACATGTGGTGCAGCATCCCTGCGTACTCGCGGTCACTCTTGGCCCGCTGTGACATCCACTTCCTCATCAGCTCCAGGAGGCGCAGCTCCCCATCCTGCAGCCGCAGCAGCGCGCTGTGCCCCTGCAGGCACCACAGCTCCGGCCCGAAGCCCATGGCACCGCTGTGCAGCCAGGGGGGCTGTGGGGCACCGGGACAGCCTGAGCCACAGCTGCCACCCTGCGCTGCCTGCGCCAGCGGCCGGGGGCCTTTGCATTTCACACCCTCCCACCCCATCATCCGGTCTGTGCAGCAGAGATGGCCCTCCCCACCCACTGCAAACAGCCCTGCAAAGCCTATTCAAAGCAGCAGGATGAGTGCTCCAAGCTCTGTGGGAGCTGGGGCCTGTGGGGATGGTGCTGGGAAGGAGGAAGTGTGGAGCCATGGACAGCAGTGTCACCTCTGCCATGCACAGACTGCTCCCCAAGGGCAGCACGGCCGTACCCCCCGCCCCTGGCAGCACCAGCCCCTCCTCTCTGGCAGTTGCAGTCCTGTCCTGCCCTTTCCCACCCCTATGCCCACGGTGTGGGAGCTCCCTGGGGCTGGGGCACTGGTGGGAAGCCAGCAGAAGCTGAGGAGGGTGCTGGGCCGCAGAGAAAGGTGCAGAACCTGGATATGTTCCAGCATGCAGGACGCCAGTAAGGCCACTGGGAGTCAAACTGATTCCAGTGGCAGTCCCTGGGTGCCCTGCTCTGAAACAAGAGTGCAACAGGAGCAGCAGAGTGCTGGGGCACCTCCCTGTGCAGCGCAGGATGTCTCCTGGCACAGCCCTTGACCTCACCAAGACCTACCCCCCAGCCTTTCAAAGGAGTCCCCATCTCTGCTAGTACCTCACCAGGGCACAGTGCTTCCGACCTACATTTGGTGTTGGGTCTTCGTTCTGAGGCTGCTGCTGGCGTCCTGCTGGGGCCGGGGCTGACGTGGTCTGGGCCCGGCGCAGCTCCGGCTCCTGGGGAGGAACAGGAAACCCAGTGCTGACCATACAGCCATTGCGAGATTTCCTGCGCTTCCTGCCCTCCCTGCCAGTCCCCACGCCAGCAGCCAGCACACGGTTCTGCTGCAGCTAGGCAGTTCCCAGCCCCACCACACCTCCCAGCTGCCTCCCACCGGGGCCTGACACCAGCAGGTCCAGCCCTGTAACCAGGGCCTCTGCTGCTCCTGTGGAGCCTTCGCTCAGCGCCAGTCCCACCCAGCAAAGCCCCTCAGCTGTGCCTGGTCCTGCCTGGCTCCCAGCCCCAGTCCTTGTCCCTGTGTCTCCAAGAGACTGCAGGACCTGGGGGGTCCTGAGGACTCTGCGTAGCCCCACTGAACTGTGGCCACCCTGTCACCATCCCCAAGCCTGGCCCTTGTGACAGGGAAGGGCTGCAGGACACAGCACCCGCTGACGGACACGCAGAGTGCCATGCCCCAGCCCTTGCTGCCAGCCTGCGTCCACAGAGCCAGGACCACACCGGGCACCTCCCCTTCCAAGGGCTTCCCTGGTGCCACGGCAGCACTGCCCAGCCCCGGCAGCTGCCACCACCACTGCCACCGCCCAGTGGCACGGCCCAGTCAGCTCCACTCCGCTCAGCCTAGCCCCCGCCTGGCTCTTGGGCCTCCCGTGACAGGGAGGCTCCGGCGCCAGAGGAGTTTCAATGTCACCTGCAGGACATTGCCAGGCTGATTCCACTTTTAGAGGAAGTCAGGGAAAAAGCGCGTCAGCCGGGAGCTTTGCTGACTCGCCTTCCTACAGCAGGGCAATGTGGGGTGGCCACGTCCTGGAGCAGCCCCAAGGAAGCGCTGCCACCGTACTGCTTCTCCCACCACCACCCTCCCTCCAGCATCCCCTCCCCGCCTGGCCAGGCTGCTCCTGGGCGGCCAGGGCTGGGCGGCGCTGCGTCTGGCCGCAAGGGCAGCAGCTCTGTCTGGAAGGCAGATTGCTGCCCGGCCCCAGCCCCGCCTCGGGAGAAGAGGAAGAGCAGGGTGAGCGCGCTGCAGGCTGTGCCTGCCACGGGGACCTCGCTCCCGACCGCAGGAAGCCGCTGCGGCCTCCGCAGAGAGGAGCTGCCTCTGCGATGGAGCGCAGCCACTACAGGCTCTTTTGTGGGGCTCGGTGAGGCTGCGGTGGGCTGTGTCTGCAGCTTGGCCACGGCACGAGTGGGTCCCAGGTCCAGCCGGGCCATTCCTGCACCAGGGTGGTGCTAGACACGGGGGCTGCAGCCAGGGCCCAGGCTGTGGTGAAGGGACTGAGCCTTGTGCTGTGGGAAAGGGGCGCTAAGTCCCCAGGCTTTTCACACGCACACACCCATGCGGCCCGTTTCTGAATTAACTGCCCTCGATGCACGTCCCCATAACAGCTCATGTAAGGGACATCCCCTGCCCGTCCCCACCACATTTCCTGCCCACAGCCAGGGAAGGGCAGTGCCTGGCCTGGGGGAAGGTCTGCAGGCTCCAGCCCACCTGCAGAGCACCTGCAGAGCAGATCTGGGTGCTGGGTGCCCCTGAGGCCCACAGTCTCCACGGCCAGGCCACTGCCCCGGCCGGGCACCCACGGCACATAGAGCACAGGCAGCGGAGCTGGTTTGCATAGTTCTGAACATTTAATAACTCAGTCTCTCTAGCGTTATATCCACATCCATTAAATTAAAAACAGGCTCAGGAGGCAGCTCCTGGCCGATTAAATTACAAGAAAAAATTACTGTGCACCAAAAAGTTGTTATAGAAAAATAGTCCTGTGGCCCCTGGCCAGCGGCTCCATCCACGGCTGGCCCCGGTGTGCGGCAGCGGACGGCAAAGGGGCGCGTGGCACTGCCCCCCAGCCCACGGGGAAGGGGCAGCAAGGGGAAGGGCTCCAGCGGGGAGCAGAACAGATTGTCACCAAGTGGGGGCAAGGCACGTCGGGGGGCTAGGGCTGCAGGAATGCTGGGCACTGCCCAGCACAGGCAGGACGCAGGCAGAGCTGGGGCAGTGCTGGCACTGGCGCTACCTGACGGTCCCAGCCAGCAGCACCTACAGCCCTCCCCAGGGGCAGAACACAAGGGGCCCAAGGCAGCCCCCCAAAGCAGGGACTGTGCGAGGGGTCCCTGCCCAGGCTGTGGGCTGTGCCATGGGCACAGGGTCAGGCGGTGCCCACAGCCTGATGCTCCCCGGTGCCAGGGCTCCTACCCGCTGCAGGCAGCGGCGGTGGGATGGGCAGGCAGTGGACAGCAGCAGCTGAGGCCTGGCCATTATTGCTGTCGAAGGGCACGGGTGGAAGCAGACAGGCCCAGGGGAAGCGGCAGGGAGCTGGGACACAATGAACTGAGCCTGGGACGCAGCCCTGCAGGGGCTGAGGGTGGGAGGGGCAGGGGGATGCTGTGACACAGGCTGGGCTCAGCCCTGCCACAGCCAGCCCACCTTGAGCCGTGGCAACCCAGGGATTTCACACGCTGCCCATCCTGCAGAACTCACAAGATCCCAAGCAGCAGCCATACACCCAGCAGAGGAGACACTGCTGCCAGTGCAGGGCCAGGAAGCGTTGGGCCCCACTGCCACCAAACACCCCGGCACGGGGCACAGGATGGACGCAGGGCCAGGAGAGATGGTGCAAGACTGGGACGGTGCTGTGCTGGGGATGGTGCCTGCGGGACCATGCCTGGCCACCCAGACTAGGGCTGAGGGATGGTGCCAGGGGATGGGAGCCCCAGGCTGCTGCAGTGCAGGAAGGGGACAGGGGCAGAGTCCAGGGCCCCTCAGCCTCACCTGCCCCAGGCCTGCAGTGCTGGGCAGTGAGGAGGGAGGGGCAGGAGGGCTCATCAAAGGGCACTTTGGTCTCTGATGAAGGCAGTCCTCTCGCTGTGGGCCTCATAATCCTCACCGTCCGACTCAGAGGGACCCTCCTCCTGCCAGATGTCGGAGGGGAGCCCCTTGTAGGAGATGATCCCGCTGTCCAGGGCATACACCTTCACACCCCGCAGGCTGAAGCCTGAGCGTGCTTGCAGCACCAAGAAGATGGTGACAAAGATGATGACAATGAGGATGCAGCTGAGGCTGGCGATGAGGACAGGCAAGTTGACCGGAGGGGAGGCCTCAGCTGGTCCTTCGCCGTCTGCCAGGGCGGGGGACGCACGGCTGCTCTGGGTCTGGTGGGAGCAGGAGAAGTCCAGGCTGCTGAAGTGGGAGTGCGCAGGACAGGTGAGGCACTGGTTGGGGCCAGGTCCCGCACAGGTGGCACAGGAGGGGTGGCAGGGCAGGCAGAGGTGGGGTGCGATGGGCTCCACGCTGTTCTCCAGGTTGTAGTGCGTGCTCTGGACGCCGGGTGCGAAGCCGGGAGGGCAGCGCTTCAGGCAGCTCTTCTGGTGCAGGTAGTACCCCTCCTCGCAGACTGTGGGACAGGCAGGGTCAGCTGGGGGGTCCCGCACCTGCATTCCCCCCCTGCTGTCCCCACACTTACCCACGCAGGTCTGGCTGGGGGTCAGGGTCTTGCAGCCACTGCTCTCCAGCTGGTTGGAGAGGCTGGGGGACTCGGTGGCCGTCCCATACAGCACGAGCGTGAACTTGGTGAGCGTGCCTGCAACAACGCAGGGTGAGCACCACAGAGGCGCCCACAAGACGTGCCCGTGACAGGCACAGGGAGGGGGCTCACGCTGGTCCCCCATCCTGGCTGCCAGGGCACAGCAGGGTTGTGCCCACCACCTGGGAGAGCGTCTCTTGTGGGGCCATGACCCTGCACAGGACTCCCAAGGGGCAGGGGGTCAGGTGAGCTGGCACGGGGTCTCCTTTTGCCTGGACTGCCCCAGAGGGGCTGCAGTGCCATCCCACATGCCCAAGTCCGGCCTCTCCCCAGCCACACCACCCTAAACATCCGAGATGTTACTGGCCCCTCAGCTCAGGAGCAGGGGCAGGGGGGGAAATGGGTGACTACACAGCTCACATCCCAGACTTGGAGGGAGGCAGCAGACAGGGAAGCACACCCCTACCATAGTTCTTGGCATCACTGGTGTTCTCAATCTCCAGCACCCACTCCCCAGAGGGGTCCTCATCCCACGAGTGCGTTGTCATGAAGGCCCAGTCATTGAAGCCATCGGCCGAGAAGTCGTGAGGCCTGAGCAACAAAGGCAAGGGCACAAAGATGTGGCTGTCAACACGTGCCAGACTCACCAGGGGCCAGCCTGGGGCACGCCAGAGTCCAGCACGTACCTGGCAGCCAGCAGGGTGGAGCGGGTGCCCATGGGGCTGACCAGGTGGATGGCCAGGTCCCCCCGGCGGTTGTAGGACAGCGTCAGCCTGGCCTGCGCGTGCTCCAGCCGGCTGATGTAGTTGGCTTTCCCCAGGCAGGCATCCACCTTCCGCCGTACCTCGAGACGCTTCCCAATGTCCCTGCCGAGCACAGGCAAGTGTGAGGCCAGTCCCAGACTTGGGGACAGACCACAGTCGCCATTCCTTGCTGGGGCTCTGCAGCTGTCCTGGGGACTGGGCACCAGGACAGCTAGAGTGGGAATCAAATCCACAGTGGGTCAGAGTGGCACCACCACAGTACCATTCCCAGACGGGTGCAGGCAGGAGAAGGGGTGCCCCAGCTCCTGGGCGTGAGGGGCGGGAACTGCGCTGCCCAGTGCTGCCACACATGAGCCCTGAATAGGCCCTTTATTCACACACCGCAGGCCAGCTACACCCTGCACGGCCCAGCCAGGGATGGGATGGGCAGAGCCGTCCCCATCCTGCTGCTGGCCTGTGGCCGCTCCCCCCCCCGATGCCCGCACAGGATGTGCCTGCTGTACCCACACAGGGCTGGCTCCCCAGGGCAGGGCCCAGCCCCAGCTCCCTTCGTGCGCAGCAACATGATCTCCCCACCCAGGAGCCCCGAGGGAGTGCCCTGTCCACAGACAAGACCGCACATGCTGCACTGTGGCAGCAGCAGCCAAGCAGGAGTCAAAGGAGCTTCTGTCTGCCCCCTGAAAAGCCCCTCTGTCC